TTTTGGTTTGTTTTTTTTTTTTTAAATCAGCTTTTATTAATACCTTCCCCTCCCATCATCAAAGGCAAGGGTTAGACTCTGGGGTTTTAGGTTCTTTTTAAGAGATTGCATTTATGTTTAAATAAACCATAGCATTGTCCTCATGTCATTAATCTGATCGAGTCACTGCTACCCCTCCTGGGGAGCACCCGCCCCTGATGTTACCACTTGCCCCAGTCTTAAGCTTCCCCTGTTCTTGGGGATAGATTCCCCCACGCTTCTGTAGCCTTGGTTGCTGCCTTTTTTCCCCCCAAGACCCAGAAAAATAAAGGTTGGGCATCATCGCTGAAGCATTCCCTGGTGCTTTCGACCACAGAAAGTGGTGGCAGCTGCTTGTCTCTCTGTTGTATCTGTCCCCTCCATTGTACCTTCGCAGGACTCGCGGCTCACCCGGCAAAGCCAGGACCCTCAGCTGTGCCATGTGGCTTTCACAGTCCCCAACATGACCTTTAGGCTGGCGTCTAAGAGCCTGCAGGGCAGAAAACCTTTGCTCCCAAGAGTATTATCACCCTATTTCAATCCCTCCCAAGCCTCCCTGGCTGTTTGCAGCATCCCACTGCTCCTGGCTCCAGGGCTGACCCCAGACCCTGCCGGCAGCTGTGGGCTGGGGAAGGGCTACCTGCTCTCCTGCCCCCGGCTTCTGGTGTCCTCTGCTGTAGGACCATGTTGGGCCAAGGGGCCTTTTCTCCAGCTCCCTCTTCTGGCCTGGACTCAGTGGCTCTCGCCTCTTCCTGCAGAGGCTGAATGCGCTCCATCTTTGCCTTCTGGCCTCCAGGTCTGCTGGGACCTTTGTACTGGAACAGCCTGGTCCTACACGTGCTGGTTCTTCCCTTACCTACTTCAAAGAGCATCTCCCATCATCACTAAGGCAATATTAAAACCATCCGAGCCTGGATCTCTGATCAAGCAGATTCCTTAAGCTCCTATGTCTTCTTTGCTCGGGCAGCCAGGAGCTTTCCCCTTGATGTGAATGCAGGGAAGACGGTGCTGGGTGTTGAGCTGGGGCACATCTGGCCTCAGCCTGACTCCATACTGACACCTGTAACACCATCACTTAATCTTAGCTTCAAATCTTGGCGCGGAACACGTTCAGCCACCTAGGCAGGCCAATAACAGTCCTTGGTGACCCTGTGACACACCAATGCTCTGCTAGGTCACCCAAATACAAGTGCCCAAGCCTCTTCCACTGGCTGGACCACTGAAGGTGCAAGCCCAGAGCCTGCCTGTGCCCTCCACCAACAGCCTGGAGCTGGTTTCACCCCTCCAACAGCCATGCTATGTCCCCAACACACAGGGATTACAGAATAAAGGACCAGGGATTTGCTTTTGCTGATAAAAGCAGATACAAGCATGGTCCACTTATGGGTGGTAGGTCCACAGGCTTTGCCCCCCCCAGTCACTTGGGGTGGCTGCTGCATGATGGGCACAAGATCTTGGAGGCTGCTCTTTTTAGAAAGTTACTTGTTTTAAGCACTGCAAAGCTCACGGCTCCCTTTTGAGGGGTTGCTCGAGTTGCTGCTAGCCTACTGCGTGTGGAGTTTTTGAAGGATAAAAGCTTCTTGCTGGCTCGCAGTGGCAGAGGCTTCGCTCTGGGGCACAGCTTGAAGGATAGATGGCTCCAGGCTTTTCTTGCTCCATCTCCTGCTTGTCTTCACCTCCAGCCCAGGTGATGCCCAAATACCGGTTCCTCCCTTTTAAGAGCAAGTTAACTCCCTCTGTGCAATTCCATATGTGAAAGCAAAAGAGCAGAGTGTTACTGCTTCTGCCAGGGCCATGATTTCCCTAAGGGAGAGGGAAAGGATTTAGCATCTGCAGCAACTGATGGAAGGAAGAGGAGCTGAGAGCATCCTCAGTGCTGCCTTGGATGGGGATGGGACACACCGAGACAGAGAAAGCCACCTCAGAACAGGGTTTTGTGGGACAGCCCTGCTGCCAGCACCAAGCAGAGCAGCTCGGGGCGATATGGGACCTCTTTGGGGCATCCTTGCAGCCACCAGTGGCTACTGCTGGGCTTGTCCTGCTGCAGAGCAGGGCGCTGAGGAAGAGACCCACAGTGCTGGCCCTACCACCCTTTCCCAAACACAAAAGCTGGGTCTGGCTCCAGGAGAAGTCCCAAGCATCCCTCACCCCAGGGTAGATGTTTTTTGTTTAGCCTCAGATGAGATGTAGGAGAACCTGCTCGGCGCCATCATCGTCTGCCCCCCAGCCCACGCCTTTTCCATCTCTTACTGCCCCGCGCTGTTGAGCCCATCTGCTGCCACAGCCAACTCCGGGTACTCACCCAAGCATCTTCCCAAAAGTCTGTATTAACGACAGCAGGATTGTCCATACTGATGCTATACTAGGAAAACAAAAGAGCTTGATAAAGAAGCATCATTAATTGCTAATGAGCAGCTGCCCTCCTTTAAGAAGGAGAGGGATTCCAGGCTGCTGCCCACCTTACTCCAGGCTGTTTAAAGTCTAATCCTGTTTCTCCACTGACTATGGGACCTTTCGGAGTCCAACATTCATGTTGCTGCCTGGTTTTTATGCCAAAGTACGTCCCTGCGGGGCTGGGGAGGGAGAAGGGGCACAGGAGCCACGTTGCCTGTATTTATGTATCTGTCAGTGTTCTGCTTTTTTTTGTTTGTGATTGGGGGTTTTCTTGGTGGGTGTTGGGGGGTTTTTTTTGTTTGTTTGTTGGGTTGGTTTTTTTTTTTTAAAGTTCCAGTAATAAATCAGTCCAAGCCACCCGCTTTGTCCTCTCATCTCACCCGCTGGCATTTCCCTTGGCAGAGGGAGATGAGCCGGTCCCCAGCGTGCCACACCTCGTACCCTGCAAACAGCACTGGGAGCATCCATGACCCTTCTTAGGAGCCTGTTAAAGACCTCTGAGCAAGAATGACCCAGGACAGCGAGACAAGACCAGGCTGGAAACAAGAGCTGGAGCTTAGGGAGGGTCACCAAGAAAGCTGGAGTCCACAGCCACCCCACTGCTGGCTCTGTCCCCAGGGCACGGTGGTAGATCTCCCCTACCACCTCCTCTGGTGCTGTGACAGAGGACGTTGAGCACCGTCCTGCTCTGCACCCACGGACGCTGGCTCCAACTGAGCCATTGCTGGTGCCCAATGCCCACCACTTGAGAGCCAGCCTTGGTGGGCACCAGGTGGCCATCACCCCAAGACCATCACTAAGCTGGGTGGTGGGCATGGAGGAGCCCAGAGACGCAACTGAAGGCTCGTTTAAGGAGAAACGAGCTACTTTCCGATTTGTACAAAACTGCTTTAATGACAGAAACAGCTGAAAAATACTTTTTGGTGTGTTTTAGTACTATCAAGAAGCCCTGTGTGATGCCCAGACCCGAGTCCCTTCCAGGCCCAGGCTCATCCACTGCCTGGAAGGGCAAGAGGCTCTTCACAGGCACCTTCTCCTAGTGCAACATGTCCCAGGGGAGGGGTCTGTCCTTGAGACCACACAGAAACCCCCTTCAAGACCCTCCACTAAGGACAATTTTCCTCCCAGCCACACATGCATGGGCTGGAAATACCTCCGTGAAGTACTCTGGCTTTGAGGCTCCTTCTTGGTTCAGGAGTGCTTCTGTGGCCACCACCCTTCCCATCACTGAAGCCCTGTTGGCATCCCACCAGGGGAGCCAGGCAGCAGCAGGAACTTCAGCAAATGATGCTTCCAGACTGGAGCCAGCCCGGCCGAGTCCCTGAGACACCGGATAACGCCCCAGCGAGTGCAGAACCCAACGGGAGGGTTGGGGAAAGCAGAGAGTCCAAACCTCAGCAACCACTGGGTGATGGGGCGAAGAAATACACAGCCAGGAGGATGAAGTAGACCATGACCAGCACCGTGCCTAGGGCAGA